CAGGGCCTCTGGAAGAGGAGATCCTGCTGACACATGCACCATTACGATACTGTACTTTTCTTTTAAGATTTTACTTATTTATTTGGGAGAGAGAGAGAGCAGGGGGAGGGGCAGAGTCCCCGCTGAGCAGGGTTTGCAGGATCATGACCTGAGCCCAAGGCAAATGCTTAACCAACTGAGCCACCCAGGTGCCCCAAGATGCTGTACTTTTCAACCTGATACCTTGAGTCTAGAGAACCAAAAGGCCACACTCATTATAAATGTAACTTATTAAGATGTCTTCCCACATGCTAACATTTCAAAGCAATTTTATTAAACATGAGAGAGTCACCCTGGCTCCAGCAATTAACAGGACTTAACGAAGGTGTATTTCCTGTGAGCGCATAGCCTCTCTGCATCCATCAGACATTTTCCACTGAACCTAAATTAAACTGTAAATGAACTGATTTGCGTCCATAAATCCAATAGAAATGTATCGGTATAGGGTGTTTGAGATACCAGTCTCATACCCATTTCCCAATCTCATACAGTTCTCTTGTTAAACTAAAATATGACCCTTTCTACAAACTGTTTTCAATTTTATTAAACAGGGGAAAAAGGAAATCTGAATCACTTAGGTAGGTATTTCATAACTCATTACAACACCTTAAGAAGAAAAAAATCTTTGATATTTGACCATCTGTCTTAGAGAAAACTAACAGGGCACTGTTAGAAAGGTACCAAAAAAGACCTAAGTTTGAGTGATTTTTGTCAATTCACCTAGACTGGTTTCCATCCAGTTCTCAGTGAAAGAACTTTTCCATTTTGACAATCAAACCAAAGAAATTTGAGCAGCAATAACTTTATCAGAAAAGGAAAGAAAAGTATACTTTCATATCCACAATGTGTCACACTTTCATATATTCTCTTAGCTAATCCTCACCATAGTAATGTGAGATAAATATTATTTCTACTTTATGGAAAAGGAAAGTGATGATATTTAAGTCCCTTGAATGGCAGGGACCATGTTTGTTTTCTCTATATTTCCAGCACTGAGCTTGGGGCCTGGGACACAGTTCAAGAGCATGCTATATGCTTAAGAATGAATACATGACTAAAGAAAAGGAAAAGGAATTTGGAAAAAATACGCAATCCAAATTTTGCTCCAGGACCCTAACTAAAACCACTTCCTGGAACGCACTTGCACACTGCAATAATCTACCTGAGCTTCAGAGATTTGTTTTAAAGGACAGTTTATCATCTTTCCAATGTATACACCACAGGGGCATGGCATGGCAGGGCAAGAAGGCAGGGCGTGGTCCTATCTCACTTCTTTCCTCCCAACTCAGCACCACACCTTGCACAAGTTGAGTGTTTAATGAGATAGGTGATGACAAAGGTAATGATGATGCCTTCAGCCATCACGGGAGTACACAGAACACAAGATGCCCATAGCCACCAGAAGAACTGGTCTCTGAGTCAAGTTACATCCTCTCTTGAGCCTCATTTTTTTCTCTGTACAATGGGAGTAACAAAATATACTCAAAAGATGGTTTCCATTCATTTAATAAATATTTACTGAACCATAACCATATGTCAGGCACTATGCTAGGGGACACAGTGATGAACATAACCATCACATCCTGCCTGGAGGAGCTCACAGTTTCAGTGGATGCTCTGAGACTCATGAAAAAAGTTTTACCAACCTCAAAGGACAACACAGTTATGAGGTACTGCTCCTCCTCTGGGTTTCTTAACTTGGTTAATGACATCACCATCCACCCAATTGTCCAACTTGGGAATTGTCCTCAACTCCTCCCTCCTTCATCCTACCCACAATTCCCATAAATCACCAAGATTCTTTTGATTCTCCTTCAGAAAAGTCTGGCATGTATTACTTCTCATCTAGTTTTCCATGCTTCTATTCTAGGCCCTTTGTTTCCACCTGAAAATTACAAGTCTCCTTATAATAATGATAATGGCAAGCATTTATTGATCGCTTACCATATGGCAGGCACTGTGCTAAGAGCTCTGCCTACATAACACAATTTAACCCAATAAGAGAGATACTAGTACCCCTATTCACGGAGGAGGAATATGAGGTGCAGTAACCAGCCCCAAGACACCAGCTAGTAAGTGATAAATCTATGGCTCAAATCATGTCTATGAGAGTCTATTCTTATGTTTTAATGGATTCCTGCCTCCAGCCCCTTCCTGATTGGTCTATACTCCTTACTTTTATTCTGTTGCTGGTGTGCTCTTTGGAAACCCAAGCTGATCCGTTTCTTCTGCTTTAAGACAGCCAGTGGCTCCTCAGCATCTCCAGGTTGAGGCCTGAGGCTACAGGACACTCTGCAATATTTTTTCTCTGCTGTCTCACCCCACGAACACCCTCACTGCTCCCCAAACTCTTTGCTGACCCTCCCTCCTCTATAAAGCATCCCTTGCCCTTTCCCTTCCAGACAGGAACCTCCTCCTATGCAGCCGCAGACCCATGTACATACATTTCAGCGCTGACTGGTATGTTCCCCTCCCCCCCTTCCTCCTCCTCCTCCTTTTCCTCCCTCTCTCTCTCACTCTCTCTCACACACATACACACAAAAACTACAACAGAAACACACCCACTACCAATCCTGAGTTCCTGGAAGGCAGGCACAGTGTATTTTCATCTGATTCTCCAGTTCCTGCCTCAGTAGCGAGTTAGTAAGTGACTAAATGAATGGCATGTGGTGGTGTTAATACCTCACAGCTCTACCCCAATAAGCAGATAAGACCTTTCCCCCAGAACACGCTAAAGAGTAGGGCAAGCTTATAGTAGCTCCTGTCCTCTCAGGCAAACTCAAGAAGATGGGATGCTTCCAGCAAAATTATTACAACTAAGATTGGTCCTCCACTGTCTGCTGGCACCCTCTCTTGAAAGCAAATCCAATCACCTCTGAAACTGCAAAAACTAAACCAGCTCCAGACCAAAAGACCTCAGAAGAACTGCCCTCTCAGATGAGAGATGAGGTAAAGTGATACCTTCCTCCCCACCACCCTGCAATGGGCAAAGCATTCCAAAATGCAGACAGGTAAAAAACAATGACTCTAATGAACAATAGAGGATCCTGACAGAGGGAGAGTCATCAAAGAAAAAAAGCTAGAGGCAGCAAAATCTAACCCTACTCTCTGCCTCCAGGGCTATCTATAACTGGAGTCCAGGCCACAAATGGATGACAGCAACTACCTCATGTCTCCTTGCTCCCACTCTCATCCCACACCTGTCTACTTTCCAAAGAGCAGCCAGATGGTGTTTTTAAACTCTATCAATGATAAGGACACACTCCTGGGTAACACCTTCCAACATCTTTCTACCCACTTGAAATAAAATCCAAACTCTACCAGGAAGTTCAAGGTCCACTCCTCACCCATTTTCCCCTTCGATTGCTACATTCCTGATACAGAGGTCTTCTGTTTCTTAAAACAGGCCAACCTCCGGGCCTTTTCCTATGCTGTTTTCCCTGCGTGGAAGGCTCCTCCTCCAGCTTTTTACAGAGCTGGTTCCTTCTCAAGGCTCAGTTCAAACTTGACTTTTTAAAAGAGGCCTTTCCTGACCACTCTATCTAAAGCGTCACCCCTTTACCCACTCCATCATTCCCCATCAGGTCATCTTTTTTTAAGCACCCACCACCACTAGACAATATTTTCTTCATTTATTTTCCTGTTTCTATCTTCTCTTGCATAGGGTAGAAACTCTGCTTTGTTCACCCTGTCAATATGCAGCAAGCACTCAAAAAAAATTTCCGGACTATTTGTTGACTATCAGCAAAGAAGCATCCTCAGGATGGACTATTTTGTTCCTCTGTTAGAATGAAAAAAACATCTACTTAGCCTCTACTAGGTGCTGGGCACTGTAAATGCATGATCTTCCTTTTAAAGGGGTAAAATAACCAGCTCAAGGTCACGTGGCTAATGACTAGCCGACTTCTAAATTAAATACTTGTTTGTGCAGCTCCTCAACTCCTCTCACCTTTGCCTCCCTCTCTGGGGGGAGGCACTGTCACTCTGTGGTTCACTCTCATATTGCCATAACACCAAAAGGATCAAATACTTCTAAACTGCTTTACAGTTATTAAAGCATTGTCACATTCACCCTAAGAATACAAAGCACTTGCCCAGAAAGCCATACAGCACCAGGAAGTATATTAAGCACGCCTCAAGGTTCACTATCCCCACCCTGACCCCCAGGAGTGGGGACTGGGAAGGAGTCACTGCCAATGGAGGAATGGCGTCCCTATTTCTGGTTCAGAGGGATGGGGAAGCCATGAGTCACCCGTGAAGGCTTATGCTACCAGAAACTCTGATAAGACCTGGCTATGAGGCAACAAGCAGTGAATCACGAATCTGGAAGGCACTCGCTGATGGACGTGGAAAAGGAGGCCTCAAAGGGAAAGCAACTTGTAAGTTCGCTCAGCAAGTAAACAGAGACGGAACCAGGGGTCTCCTCTCCCCCAGGCCGCTTTCCTCTCCACCAAAAAGGCTTCTCAAGGAGAATTCTGAGTCAGGGGGATGGGGGGAGGGCAGGGGCAGCTCATGGACTCCACAGAGGGGTCAGGAGAAGGCAGGGGTAGGACAAGGAAGGACACAGGAGTTAGAATTGGGGGGGGGCAGAAATGAGCCAATAAGAAAAAGACGGCAGTTTCTCGAAGGTGGGTGAGGGCAGGCCTGAGAGAGAAGGCGGAAGAGAACGGACTCCAGGGAGGGCCGAGGGCAGTGCAGTGAAACCAGGGTCTGAAAGGGCCTGGCAAAGAGGGGAGAGCCTGAAGGGGAAAGGCAGGAATGCGAGTCTGAATGAAGGTGGAGGAGTCCAAGGCCCCAAGAGACACTCAAGGGAGCCAGACGGGGAGGTGTCCGGAACGGCCTAGAGGGGAGTGTGACCAGGGAGAGCGCCGGGTCGGGGCAGACCCTGGGGCGTGTCTGATGAAGGAGGAGTCCGGGCCCGGGGAGCCTAAGGAGAGTCTGAGGGGACCGGGCCGACTCACCGCGCTTGTTTTTAGTGCCGTGCTTCTTGGCGGCGGTCAGCTCCTGCTCGATCTTAGTCTCCAGGAATTCCTGCTTCTTACTTAGCATCTCCTCCGTGTCCCGCAGCCGCTGGATGGCATCCTGAGGGGTCGGGCCGCCCTTGCCGGCCTTGCCCCCTCCTGCCCCGAACAGTTTCCCGAACACCGACATGGTGGCTGCTCGCCGCGCCGGCCTGCGCCGCCCACTCCGGCTCGGCTCGGCTCCAGCGCCCGCTCCCGGCCCCGCTGCTCCCTGCCGCCACAGGCCTCTCCGCCGCCTCCGCCCCGCAGCCGGGCCCCGCCGCGCCACCTCCCACAGGCCCCCACGCCCGACCCGGCCGGCGTCAGAGCAATACGTCGCTGACTACAACTCCCGGTGAGCAACGCGCCGGCCGTGCCTCAAATCTAATGGAAGGGGGCGCACTGCACGCCGGGAGACTATAGTCTTCCGGCTTGAGGCTCTCGTCGGCGCGTCTTTTTGGTCTAGCTAGAGTCAAAGGGCGAGGTGGCATGCTGGGAAATGTAGTCTCCTTGGAACCCGTTCTGTAGTGGTAGAAGGACAAGCAGAGAAATAACAGTATTTTTTAAAAACATTAATTAGCGCTATGCACATCCTATGATCCAGATATTGTACAAAGTGCTTTACACGCATTATCCCATTTAATTCTCACAAAACTATGAACCTATAAACCTATAATACTGTTCCTATTTTGTAGGTGAGTAACCAAGACTCAGAGAAACTGAGTGACTGACTAGCTTGACTAGCCCTGTCTTTGCATATTTTGTACCCTCTACCTAGAATGCCTTTCTATTCGCCTAACAGGTTCTTCGAAACCTAGTAGAAGCTAACAGCCTTGGCACTGGAGTGCATGGGCTCAAAACGCATCTTTGTGACTTACTTGGCCAAGTTACTTCCCCTACTCTGTGTGCCTCCCTGGAGATGATAAGAACAAGACCCCCTCAAGCTTATGTGAGACAGGTAATGTAAAATGCTTACTGAGCATGGCCTAGTACTGCAGGTCCTCAAAAATTTATTCCTTATCTTGGTCATCGTTATACACAATAATAATTAAACTAGGAGGAGACCCAAAACTTCCAAAGTAGTAGAAGCATTGAAGAGTTTTTTGTTCCTGCATTTTACAGACCGCTGTAGTTGTGGGGCCACATTTTATTGTTTTCCCTTGTCCTTTGCTGTCAAGAATCACTTCTCCATCCATTAACAGTAAGGCAGTGTCTAGTAGCCAATACTTGGCCCAAGCCACCATTCTAATTTGCTGCTTCCAATCTTTTATTTGGAAGCCTTGTTACTTGTCACTTAGACTTGTATGAAAGCAAAGAGTAAACCAGTTCTGAGTGAGGGTCTGAAGTGCTCTCCAATGAAGAAAAACATAGCTTCTCAAAGCCCTTTTTTATTCCTTCCTGGACCTTCCAAATATGTGAAGTTGCTTGGGAACAGTTTCAAATAAATGAGAGCTTGACTGAATTTTTTTTATTATATCACATACAAGTCTTGTCTCCTCCGACTATGATCTACATGTAGATAAAAACATGCCTCAGATGTTGTTGTTCTTATTGTAATCAATGACAATCCCAGCCTGCATATACAGGGAACAATTCCCAGAGGATGGGAGAGTTTATTTCACCCAACTTTCCAGGTTGGAAGACATTTTTCAAAGTGAGAGACATGCCAGAACTGTCAAGATTCACAGCAGCATAAATTGTGAAACATAAGTCACACTTGTGCTTGTTTTGTAATTGAGGTATTGCAATGTTTTTATCAAAATAAAAAATATAAATAAGGAGGCTTCAATCAAGCCACCTCACGGGTACAGCAATTCCTCTACATCTAAGCAATCTACCTCCTCCCCTCTTATTTAAGTCATGCTGTAATCAGACATACAGGTAGCAAAAGATTTGCTAGGTTTGAGCCATGACCCAAAGAATATACGAACAGGAGACATGAGAGGCCTTACCACCACCAGTCTTATATTGCTGTGGGATAAACTGAGGATGATAGCAGAATCCCTCATGTCATAACATTGAGAGCCCAGAAAAACATCTTAGGGATATGATAACAGAACATTTAGATTTAATCTTGAGTATCAACTCCAATTAGTTGGTGTAGGCTACTCAGATTACTGGATTGGGAAGAATTTTGAGGCTGCATTAGGACTCCCTGAAAAATGTGCTGAGATCTATTTGTGATGTCTGTCTGGAGTGTGGGATAGGAAGTGGTGATATAAGGGCACGATAGCTGTGATCCTGGCTGAGAATCCAACTGCCCTGGTAGAAATTCATATGGTGGGCTGATTCAACACAGGAGAGCCCTGCATTTCCTTGGACTTCATTTTTTTTGGTCTCTTGGGCAAATGCACAGCCTTTTCAAGCCATGACTGACTAGCATTAAAAATTATGTGAAGGGACGCCTGGGTGGCTCAGCTGGTTGAGCGTCTGCCTTCGGCTCAGGTCATGATCCCAGGGTCCTGGGTTTGAGCTCCGCATCGGGCTCCCTGCTCCGCGGGGAGCCTGCTTCTCCCTCTCCCACTCCCCCTGCTTGTGTTCCCTCTCTCGCTGTGTCTCTCTCTGTCAAATAAATAAATAAGATCTTTAAAAAAAATTATGTGAAAAGAATGACCAATCATTACACGCAACAACTTGGAAGATTTTTAGATATTCTGCTGAGTGAAAGAAATCAGACACAAGCCTGTATAATTCCATTTATACAGAGTTCGAAAACAGGCAAAACTAATCTGTGGTGACAGGTGTTAGAATAGTGATGCCCTGGCTCAGTCAGAAGAACATGTGACTCTTGATCTCTGGGTTGTGAGTTCAAGCTCCACACTGGGTGTAGAGATTACTTAAATAAATAAACATTAAAAAAAGAATAGTGGTTATCTTCAGGGGTGGTATAGAACAAGCAGAGTGATCTTTATGGGGTGCCGGACAGGTTCTATATGAAGATCTAGTGGTATTTATGTGGGTGTATACAAATTTACCTGTCTTGGGCGCCTGGGTGGCTCAGTCGTTAAGTGTCTGCCTTCGGCTCAGGTCATGGTCTCAGGGTCCTGGGATCGAGTCCCACATCAGGCTCCCTGCTCCGCGGGAGGCCTGCTTCTCACTCCCCCTGCTTCTGCTCTCTCTCTCTCTCTCTCTCAAATAAATAAATAAAATCTTAAAAAAAAAAAAAACAAATTTACCCGTCTTCATAATTAAGATCACTGCCCTTTACATACTTTATGTACTTTACTAAATAAATGTTATATTGCAATTTTTAAAAAATTCTCTGGTAAAAACAGCAACAGAAGCATACAGTTTTTGTTTGCAAAATACTTTCGCATACAAAATCTCATCTTATCTCCAATCACCAAAGCCCTAAGAAATAAGCATTACTATACAATCTTCATCTTACCGTTGAAGAAACTGAGGCCCAGAGAATAGAAATTGCCCAAGGTCACATGGTTAAAGACTCTCAAACATATATTTATTTGTAACCTTCCTTAAAAATGTCAAGAAAAATTGAGTTAATAGAACTTATAATAGGTTTCAAATTATGAATAAAAAAATTCTTATGAAACTTGGTCTCAGGTAATTATACCAAATCAAATAGAGGATTTGCTGATTTTTAACTGTAGAAAACAAGTACATCCAATACCCCCTTCCTAATAAAAACACTCAACAAACTAGGAATAGAAAAGAACTGCTCAACCTGATAAAGAACATCTATGAAAAAACCCACAGCTGGGGCGCCTGGGTGGCTCAGTCACTGAGCGTCTGCCATCGGCTCAGGTCACGATCCCGGGTCCTGGGATTGAGCCCCATGTCGGGCTCCCTGCTCAGCGGAAAGCCTGCTTCTCTCTCTCCCACTCCCCCTGCTTGTGTTCCCTCTCTCACTGCGTCTCTCTCTGTCAAATAAATAAATAAAATCTGAAGAAAAAAAAACAAAACACCACAGCCAACATCACACTTAATGGTGAAAGACTGGGCTTTGCCCCTAAAATCAGGAACAAGCAAGGATGGCTGCTCTCACCACTATTTGACATTGTACTGGAGATTCTAGCCAGGGCAATTAAGTGAAAAAAGAAATGAAAGGCATCCAGATCAAAAAAGAAGTAAAACTATTTCTGTTTGCAGATGACATGCTCTTCTATATAGAAAACCTAAAAGAGGGTGCCTGGGGTGGCTCAGTTGGTTAGGTGTCTGCCTTCAGCTCAGGTCATGATCCCAGAGTCCTGGGATGGAGCCCCACGTCGGGCTCCCTGCTCATTGGAGAGCCTGCTTCTCCCTCTCCCCCTGCCCCGCCTCCTGCTCGTTCTCTCTCTCTCTCTCTCAAAATAAATAAATAAAAATCTTAAAAAAGAAAACCTAAAAGAATCCGCAAAAAACTCTTAGAGCTAAAAACGAATTTGGCAAAGTTGTGGGATACAAGATCAACACACAAAAATCAGTTGTATATTTGGGGCACCAAATGCTCAGGTCATGATCTCAGGGTTGTGAGATCAAGTCCCACATCGGGCTCGGTCTTCTCTTGGGCTTAGGATTCTCTCTTTCCCTCTCCCTCTGCCCCCCCCCCACTTGCACGCTTTCTCTCTCTTTCTCAAAAAACAGGGCAGGAACCCCTGGGTGGTGCAGTCGGTTAAGCATAGGAGTCTTGTTTTTGGCTCAGGTCCTGATCTCAGGGTGCTGGGATCGAGCCCTGCATCAGGCTCCAGAAATCTGTAAAAGTTTCTTTCTCCCTCTCTCTCTGCCTCCCCCCATGCTCTCTCTCTCTCTCAAATAAATAAATAAATCTTTTTAAAAATCCGTTGTAGGGGCACCTGGGTGGCTCAGAGGGTTAAGCGTCTGCCTTCAGCTTAGGTCATGATCCCAGGGTCCTGGGATCAAGCCCTGCATTGGGCTCCTGGCCCAGCAGGGAGCCTGCTTCACCCTCTCTCTGCCTCTCCCCCTGCTCATGCTCTCTCTCTCTCTCTGTATCTCTGTGTCTCAGATGAATAAACAAAAAAAAAAATCTTAAAAAAAATAAAAAATAAAAATAAAAATCCATTGTATTTCTATATATTAGCAGAGAATAATCTGAAAATAAGATTTAAAAAAAACAATTCCATTTACAATAACATCAAGAAGAATAAAATACTTAGAAATAAATTTAACCAAGGAAATGCAAGTCTTGTACACTGAAGAGTACAATACTTTGTTGAAAGAAATGAAAGAAGACCTAAATAAATGGAAACAACAGCCCATGTTCATGGATTAGAAGACTTACTACTGTTAAGGT